TGAGTAGCACAATACCATTCATATATACAATATTGTTGATATTTGCTGATAAGATTTTATGGTTTTTATTTAATCGTTGTCATTGGATTACCATAATTTAAGTATCTCTTCTTTTATGGGATTGGTATGTTGAATTTTCATTTTATTGTTACATTTATCTTCAATGATATGTGTGCTCCCTCCACCACAACATTTTAACAATATGATGTTTTCATGTTGAAGCTAGATGTTATTGTTTAATTGTCAACCATACTCTTTGACATTCTTTCAATTGATACGAGACATTTTATGACATGATAAAATACACAAACTCTTTGCATTATAGTATGAGTTTGATATATCTATTAACTACCATAAATAATTGGAAATAATCTTTTCCGTTTTGGGAACTATTTATATTGTTATATTATTATAATATAATATAATGAATATATGTATTGCATTTTTCACAACACTTATTGATACAAAAATATAAATTATAGTTTTTATAGGTACACCTTATCAATGTTTTACTGTAATTGTCTGAATATTTATGAATTAGGTAATGGTTTCTATAATTGTATTCCAGTTTAAAGCAAAATTTAATAATTCTGACTTTAATTATTCATAATATCTAATACCTTTTTTTATTTTTCAAATTATAAGCTAAGTACACATAAATAATGTTTGAGAAATCTGTTTTAGCCCTTACACTGTTAGAGGCGTATTATTATGATCCTGTATTTTATAATACTATCATTAACTGGTAACCAAACGATTTTAAGAAACCATGGCTCACATTAATTTAAATTTAAATTATTACATCATTTAAATCTAAAAATTAAAAACAAATATTTTATTTTATGTAGTACACACAAGGTGCAGAGTATACAATGTAGTATAGTAGTGAATATTTTAAAAACAGTCAAAACAAGTAATTGACAAATATAATTTAAAAATTTTTTGGTTATTTTTTATAAACATTTTCTATGCTTGATGTATCCACAACTAATCCATCGCAGTGTTGCATTTAGAGAAAATTGCTTAAATGGATATTTAAACAAGAAAGCAATTTTATAAATTAATCATCTTTGGTGGTTTATTTGGACGATTTTAAAGTAGATACATAATATTCTAGTTTTATTTATAAAATGTAGAACAATTTTTTATCAGAAAATGTTAATAACGTGGCCTACATGAAGTCTGGTCCATCAGCATAGTTTTCAATTTTCTGATAATATGCTAATCCACCTCATATGTAAACAATATTTTGCTTGTTATATATCGCTTAAAGTATACTCAGAAATTATTAAATAAGATATTAATTTCTAATTTTTAAGTTATTGCTTGACATAAACATAATTTTAAAATATTTTACATTACGATAGATCTAAAACTATTATTAAATAAATAGATACAATTATCAATTATTAGTGTATTTGATCTATACATTTATAATTTATTTTATGTTTCTAGAGATAATAAAATACACAAAAAATGTTTTAACTAATTCAAATGAAATTATTTTTATATTTGAAATCGATTTGTATGGTGAATACAAAATATGCTATTAATATAAATAGACTATTGGATTGAATATATAACTGATCATATTTTTAATTAAAACCCAATAGACTTACTTCATGAATGGGGTTATTCGGATTATTTATATCATATTTTGATTTCTCAGAATGTTGTGAAAATGTTTACATTTTTATTTACTTTTAAAAATGTTATTTAAGCAAAAAAAAAGGTTTTCAACACAAGTATATAATTTTAAAATTATAATTGTATAAAAAGAATAAAAATATATTATTGTGTAATATGTTATTTTGAATGTTTTAATGTTTGTTTGGTCTGTGGTGTTTGCTTTTCCAGACCTAAAATTACTTAATATTGAGAAGCATAAAATGATAATTGAAAGTGTGGTGCAACTTTTAGAAGCTGGTATGAATAAAATTAGTTTGGGTTCACTAATAATGTGAATATAAGTATTGTGATTCATAATTTATCTAAGTGCACAAAACTTTGAATTTTTATACCTTTTTTTTAAGATGTCTGATGCCCAGTGATGCATTTTATGATAATTTTGAAATAATATAATTGGGTTTTATTTAAAAGATAGTTGTTAAGTTCAATATTTACAATTTTAATCTTAAGTTTATTATTTATATAGCATTAGAAGCAGTATTTGTATTTAAAACCAATTGTATAACTTGTCCACTTCATCTTGAGCAACAGCGAATGTTACAATTCCACAAAATCAGTGGTCTGAAAACTATTATATTGAAAAACTATCGTAATTTGTAATGCAATACCTACTGAAATATTAAATGTTTATATGAAATATGATTGAAACATTGTGTATCCAACTTGGAAGATATTTATCATTATCATAACAAATTAACATTAAATGTGTTGGTTATTCCATCATGATATTTATTATTTACCTAGTTATTAGGTATTAATTACTTAAATTTGGTTATTTCCATATTATATTGTTGAGTGGCTACACTGTTTTATAAATATATTTTGTTATCCTATTACCTGTGTTGAGGGCCAAGATGAACTAGACGAGTTATATTCCTACATTTTTTCATAATTAAATAAAATTCACTAAACTAGATAAGTCTTGAATTGTATTCTCAACATGTTATTAGATATTGTTAACATAAACCATTATATTTTATGCTTAGGTCTAATATGAAATGATAAAATGAATATTTATCAATAAGATATTGGAGCGGTAGCACCTAAATCTCTTTCAAATTAATATCCAGTAAGAAAGCATCTAATTAAAATTTACCGCTAGTGATATTTGCCTAAAAATTGGAAATAAATAATCTTTTCAGAGAGGAATCAAACCTCAAAGATCAAAATAGTTGTTGCAATATTATCTGTGTATATGTATGGTTTAGCTCTACTATATTGTTTCAAATGACAAAGCAGCACACCTGCACGTCATTACAGGGTGGGGCTTTGAAACGTGCGAATATCCTGTATATATTTAGATACAAGAATAAGTTGTTTCATTGTCCCACCCTGTATATATTATAATAAAATATTAAATTAATTTTATTAATATTTGATGGATTGAAATTTGTATTTTTTAATTAAGTATTAAGTTTTAAATTACAATAAATTTATTTATATTTTGTATTACAAATTTAAATCTGACTTTTATTTACATTTTGTTATAATATAGTATGTAAATAATTGAACTTTCTCAAATAATTGAATAATTCACTAGTTAAATATAATAAATCCTTCCCCAGAATTAAAATATTAAATCAACATTGGGGAATTAAATTTATAGATTGGTCATTTGAATAAGTTACTAGAAAACAAAAATCAGCTGTGATTTTATAATTATATTAACAATTTAATGAGATTCGTAAGATTTTTAAATGATAGTATAAGTTAGTGTTAAGAGTGAGACCATCTGCGCGTTTGCTGTCTGCCTAGAAAAAAACCATCAATCATTAAGCAGCCGATTAAAATGACCATCATCAACAATAACTACTGTGAAAATTCATCAATGCATTGTTTTTAATTTGTTTACAGGCGCCGCTGATCCATCCATTTATATTATATAAATACAAGTTTGCGCAAGACTGTATCTTTGAAATTTATGTATCCATTTTGTAGCTTGTACAAATATCATGGGACATATTTAATAATGTATTTTTAAGGTATCAATCTTTTATTTTTATTTATGTGCGGGTGGTTTAAAATACATATTATTTTCAATAATAATGAACATTTTAATGTAATTTTTTTTTCTCTAGTTTTCAGTTTTAAAAAATTTTTACTTTAAATATTTCGTTATTCTGTCTGTATCACACCTTAATTGTACCTATAATTGTTATGATTGATATTTAATAATAGTGCATTGCGACAGCTTATGACATCTGGATCTTGGAACTCAACACAATTTAGACTAGATTATTTAGGTACCAATTTTTGTATTACACATTATTACATAATTATATATTTTTTTTTTTTTTATGCTTAAATCATTCTTAAGCATTTTCTTTTATTATGATAATGTTTAATAATATTTATCATACAAAATCTATTTAATACATTAGCCTAATAATAAAACCTATGTATTAGATTTAAGGTGAATTTTTATTTTTCATTTTCTGCCCTTTGCGTCATTATCGTCTCTCATCTGTATATATTTTTGTGTTTTAATTTTTTTTTTTTTTGACTTGTACTGTTTTGTCAAGACCTCTATACCCTTCTATATATATACATATATATATTCAAACAAAAAATACTAAAACGTGTTTTAACATTTTATTACTTTTTTTTGTTTTAATGAAATATAATTGTAATCATTGTGTATGTAGGTTTAAATTATTATTTTTTATAATATAATTTCTGATTTTAAACAGTAATAAAAATGAGTTGAAGTGAATGATGATTCGTTGCAAATGTATATCGTGTAAGTAAATCAAGTAGATTTTACATCGCATTTATTGTAGGTAGGTCTACAAAATATGCTTGGTTCGTGTACAATTTTTTTAACTTAGGAAAATTGTATCGAAATAACTCAACGTGACCAGCGTTGACTCAACGTGACCGTGTATTCCATACCCGGGAACACTTGATTATTATATGACGATCGGTATATTTTTGTATGAAATATAAAAAAAAAGTCGTTTGAATTAATTATATTAACATTTGCCCGCTTAAATTTTCTTTTCCCGAATAATTGTTGTGTTGTAGGTGTATTATTTAATTTCTTGAAAATACAGTTGTTTTTTCTTGAATTATTTGGTCCAAAGCGTAGACGAGTAGTGTGTAGTGTGCACGCCACCATGCTGATGGAATATTATGTAAATGTGGAATTTTTTTTGGATATCCTTAAATAGTAGCATGCTAAGCGGATAGTGGTGTTACCACCGTGGCCAAAGATGTTGTATACCGTTCATGAGATGTGATTGGTCTACTCGCTGATAAAATTCTATCCGCTGATAACAAAACATTCACAAATTTACAACTATAGGTGGTATATTATACTATGCATAGTAAGTAGTGGTGTACGGCATAATATATTATTATTATTATTGTAATAATATTGTCATTTGTCACGGTTTTGATAAATAATTAGTAATTACACATAAGTTCGGCGATCGGTGTGCACGCGCTACGCATGTCGCATGTGGAAGTTCAGTATAACATCGTGAGAGCCGTGCGGTCGAACGTAGGACGAAAATGTGAACAATTCTAAAAAAAAAGCTATATAATATCTGGAACAAATTTTAAACTTTTGTTAGCTATCGGTTTCGTTGATACTATGAAGTAACGCGCATTCCCGTGTTTGCGGTGCACATAATACGTATTATTGATATATTGTACTATAAATAATATTGTAAAATGTCTGGTTAGTGAAACGTTGTTATTAATTTGTCTTGTTGCGAGTTAAGCGATTGATTGATGCAGTACAGTGAAACTATGTTTTTAGGCCGCAATAATAGGAGACCGCTGAAGGTTCTGATCCCCGACGAGCCAGCTGTTGTGTAAGCATACAAATATGATTAATAATTATGTTATAGGTACCTATTGTGTTATTCTTTTACCATACAAAAAACTAACAGTGTTTTGTGGTTGTCCATTATATGTGATTTGACGATTTTGTTTTCTTCCCTACAGTAACCTGCCACGAAACCTGGATAAACGCACAACAATCACAATTGGCGACCAGGAAACTACAGTCGAGGCGAGCGACCTGCAGAAAATTTGTGATCTCGGACGCGGTGCCTACGGCATTGTTGAAAAAATGAGGCACATACCTTCTGGCACGATCATGGCTGTTAAAGTGAGTGAACTGATGGCTATAATATATGCAATACCTATATCATATTGAATGATCAACATTACCACCTGTTTTTTACCTTTCTAGAGGATAGCAGCTACAGTGAACACGCAAGAGCAAAAACGACTTTTAATGGATCTGGATATATCTATGCGGTCGTCCGCTTGTCCACATACAGTGCAGTTTTATGGGGCACTTTTCATGGAGGGTGATGTATGGATATGCATGGAAGTGATGGACACTTCACTAGACAAGTTCTATGCCAAAGTGTACAAGTTTGGACGAAAGATTCCTGAACAAATTCTTGGACCTATCACTGTTGCGGTACTTAATCATTTGTTTTTATTAATTGTTCACAATAATTTCTGATACAACTTAAGTTATGGTGACACAGTTTGTAAACAACACTAAAAACAATTTGTCCTAATATTTGTTGTGTGACTTGTTTGTTAGTTATTTCCATAGACAATATATTAACTTTATTAATTTAACTATTGGTATGCCTATGGTATGGTTGTGTCTATGTCTTATAATGTTAAGTTTATCACAATAAGTATCTTCAATTTGATAATACTTTGTCTTGTTATTTATTTAAAAGTCATAAACCAAAAAATGTGTTAATGTATTTTAATTTTTGTAGGTTGTTAGTGCCCTTCACTATCTGCATTCTCAATTGAAAGTTATACATCGTGATGTTAAGCCATCAAACATTTTAATTAATCGTAATGGCAATGTAAAAATGTGTGATTTTGGTATATCCGGGTATCTTGTTGATTCTGTTGCCAAGACTATTGATGCAGGATGTAAACCTTATATGGCGGTAATTACATTTCTGCTCAAATTTATAAATAAACATTGTCCTGATTTATCATTTAATTTTTTATACGTAGCCTGAACGAATAGATCCCACTGGAAATCCGTCAAATTATGATATACGAAGTGATATATGGAGTTTAGGAATATCTCTCGTGGAACTTGCCACTGGTAAGTTTCCATACGACACGTGGGGCACTCCTTTTGAGCAACTCAAACAAGTGGTCAAAGATGATCCACCGAGGCTGTCTACTGGTATGTTCACATCATACTTTGAGGATTTTATTTGTCAATGGTAAGCATTGTTTATAATTTATTATTCGTTGTAATTATACTCTTTTCCGAGTCTGATCAATTTGAAATATATTAACATGGGTTTTAATATTTTCAGTTTAAAAAAAGATTTTCGTAGCCGACCAAATTACTCTCAACTGCTTGCCCATCCATTTTGTCTTGCTCACCAACAACCACAGACAGCATTAGTTGCGTCATTTGTGTCTGAAATTTTAGACTTGCCTGATTTGCCTGTGTCAGGCTAAATTATTAGCAATTAATCCACTAACAATAATATATTTATAACAATATGTGTAATATTGTGTATAAACTATAATTTAATTGAAGTTAATTTCACATAATATTTAAATTATTATTAACAACTTTTATATTGGTAAATTTGTTATTTACCAATAAGTCATAAGTAATAATACAATGTCGAAGATAGTTTACTAAAGTATTTTTAAATATTATTTGTATGATATTAGTTGTAACGAGTGATTTGTGTTTTAGAAGATCTTGGTTTATAAATTTTTGTTTTTGTTTTGTTTTGTTTTGTTTTTATATAATTGCATCAATTCTTAAAATGTAAGGGTTTCCCTACTAATATTGTAGTACTTAGCACATTGCTATTTAACTGTTAGTTTTGTTTTTATGTACCATTGTGTTTTCATGTGATAATGTTAAAAAAGCGAATCAAAAATCTGTACCTGTTTATATTTTACCATATTAGTGCAATATATCTGCTCTCGCATATTTTATTTTTGAATTGTATTTTTTCCATAAAAGTCATTACTGTCATTTTTCCTGGTTCATGATAGCTTATGTCTACAACCTCCCATTTTCTATTAGGTTAAAGCTAACTTCAGTGGGAGTCAATTGTTTCATAGCCGAGATACTGCTTAAGTTATAATACTATAGTAACAATGTGTTATAAATAGTATTTATAATCAATAGTAGATTGGTAGAGTTTATTTATTACTCAGGATATTATCAGGTTAGGTTTAATTATTAACTGTTAAATACTGGATTTATATTTATGGCGTTCAGATGTACTTTTGTTCTTTAGACTGTACTCTTTATTGCCTTGTCCTAGTGTCAAACAAGGGATTTTTGTACAATGTTTAATACAGCATACAATTATTGTATTCTTTTTTGTGGAAAATATCAGTCTTATATTATTATTTTCTATGAATTAATTATTAGTTAATATTTTATGATTCAACCTCATTGCACTTTTGCATTAAGTTCAATAGTAGGTACAACACTAGTACAACATAATGTTTTTTCATCATAATGAACCACTACTATAGGTTAACATAATACCTTATTTTTTTTGTTTGTAAAACAAGGAGCAAGCGCTAACTGTTTATCATTATACTGCTGCCCTATCCCAATTTTACATCATACCTACATTTATACATAGGTAATGTAAATAAAATATTTTTATGAAAGAGGTGCTAAAGTTGAATTAAATAATTTTTTTGAATTTTATACCTAGTCACTATTTTAATTTTTTCTTTGCCTATAGTCATACACAATCATGAAATAAACGTTTGATGCAGTTCCCTACAATAATTACCTTATCAATTACAAAAGGAAACTTTTCAAAATATCTGTGACCAATTATTTGTTATAATAATTTGTAATTATCTTTTTGAAATAATTTTTATGTTCATTATGAAATAAATTGTTTTTCAACACTTGTTATGCCTATGTTTTGTCCAGGAAACCCTAGAACAGAGTTTACGAATATTACTACCTAGCGACGTCTGAGGATCTTAACAGTGCTTGGTAAACATTTGAGGAGGGAAGACATATTTACCACAATATTTGGAGGAGGGGAATACTCCCACCTCAAAAGACAATTTTGTTCTTTATTTAAAATTTTAAACCTGCCATTTATGTGAAGGTGAAGTTCCATCAATGGATGGCCACCTCACACAACCCTCCTGTCTGAAATGCTGTAAATTAAATTTTTCTGATATTTCGTATAAATGTACATCACTTATGCTTATTGTAAAAAATAATGCCCTACGATTGTACAATATTGCTAAATTAAAAATAATAATAAAAAGAACTTGCCATTTCTTTAATTAAAAAAAATTATTGCATGTTTCGAGTATTAATATAATTTGTGATGCTTATGCCTACACACCTACTTACTTTTTGTACATGTAGGTATGTACTTATACTTCTTTTATTGTTGAACTAAAATAACTCAAAACTGCATTAACGAAGATAATTTAACGATAAATTTTAAATTGATTTTTTCTTTTTTATGCAATTCTTTTATAGTTTTATCATAATGTTGTATTCAAGATGTTATCATAACATTAATAGGTAGGTATTTAGTATTTAAATTTATTTAATAAAAAAAACCATTTATGGAAAACTATGAGTTAACCATTTTGTAAGGAAGACAAATGTTAATGTATTATTCGTTTTCAATTAAAGTGGCGACTATTCTTCGGTTCTTATAGGTAAATCTACATAATAATTATTGGTTGAAAGTAATTTCGTCTTCGATTCTTCGTACAAAAAAAAAATATATAAGTACCAGTACGGGCAGTACCTGCATTATATCTACATTATGTAATATGTAGATCATAATAAACCTATAGTCTATACTCCTCAATTTTAACCTTACGCGACGTGATATCTCTTTTAGGTATTTAATCGGAGGATTATTGGAGGCATTCTCTTGTTAAGACTGCCGAAAATTGTATTGTGCGCCATGCGGGTGTGGGGCCGCGGGGTAGGGGATGGGTGAACGGTAACGACTCATAGACTTCATCATGGAATAAATCAAATAATAAGCTAGAGAAAAAATAAAACTAAACTAGCAATATTTGTATACCTACTACCTAGATACCTAAAAAATACCGAAAAATAGGTAACAGAAATAATACAAGCGGTTGGTCCGGACGATATTATTAAACACCGTGTTCACTATAGTGAAGTATACCTACTTCACTTGTGCTTGTTATTCTTTTCAACGTCGATTTTCCACGATGGTGAGGAAATGGCGTAGAAACGTTTGCCAATACCGTGACAAAACAATGGCCAATACAGTGGCGAGCAGCAGGGACTGGACGTAGCTGCAATTTTCTCCGTTGGCACTATTCAGTCGTATATTTTCGTAAGTAGTATATGACGTGTAATACTTCAGCTCTGATTGTACCTCTGTCACAGCCATGGGCGGCGTAATGGTATTATAGAAGAAAAACCTTTTTTATTTCGGCGGTCGAGTCGTCTATATAATACGTCAGGCACCGTGATAGCCTGTGTGAGGCATACGTGCATGACGTTTTATGGGTTTCCGGTCTCTTGACTTCCGTAATAGTTCCACCTGCCCTTACGGCTCAACTGTCTTGGTTTTATTTTAATAAACGTCTGTGGCTTGTGTATGATAATAATTAATAACTGTAATTATATTATAGTGTTTTATTTCCGATGTAACTATTAGCACGAAGATAGGGCGCTGTCAGGTCGCTATATAATTAATTGGCTACCACTTGAGTAAGTGTTTAAAAATGACGTATCTAATCTCTCGAGCATCAAATTGTATTTATATAATACACAAAATATTGATTAGTTAATAGTTAACAATAAATTAATAGTTGTTATTAATTAATATTATTATGATAATTTTCCTTTCATAATATCTATGGAATCAGCCGCTTAGCCCCATCGAATGTTCTTAATCCGGGCTTGGGTCCAGGTTTTGCAGGATTCGTTGTGACTGTGTATCGTTTATGTGTTTTATCTTGACTTCGTACGAGTGTTATTAATTCTGTAATTCGTAATTGTACGATGTATTTTATGATCTTGATATACTCGCACAGTTGCATCGATGCCAAATCCATTTTGTCTGCTATAGTCTATAGATGTTAAAGTGGAAGAGTAATAATGTATAATATTGTGCATTGTAATTTCTGATAATTCGGAGGCGATGGTGCGGAGCCAAAAGGCAAAAACAAATTAGGCACATATTATTTTCCACAATTTCGTTTGCAATGGGTATTTGCTGTTGTACGGATACTAAATTTTGTTTTTGGTGATATATATGTACCTACCTATACATATCCTATGGATTGAAAAGTATAAAACAAACTTAAGGATGAAAAATAAACTTTTATTTTTATTTAATTAGGAATGCACAACAATGTTATGTACTTATACGTTGTGATTTTTATTTCTCATAATAATTTTTATCTATATCAAATATGTGTAAGATGATGCGGTCTCACCCGCATGTGTTGTCTTACATGTACCTACTCATTTATACTCTGATTTTATACGAAGTTTACGAAAGCTTACGAAAACCTTACGAAAAATATCCATTGTATCTTCTAAATATATTAAATAAAGGTTATACCAAAAATATCCATTTTATACACGAAATTATACTAAAAATACATTCATCACTTCTCTCTGAATCTAATATCCGTAAAATGTCTTTATACTTTCTTACATTATACGTTAAATAAACATGAACAAAAACGGATATTAAATGTTGAATAATCTCTAATTAGTATTATTTTTGCCTAAAATTACACCAAAATTATACTATTCATCAACTAAATAACTACGTGTATTATACGAATGGTTCGTACATGTTAAACATTCAAATATTCAATGAACGTATGATACACGTAAAATTGTTTACTGGGCACAAGAAACCTACTACATAGAACATTTTAGTTCACCAGTTTCAATAGTGTACTGTTAGTTTTGATATTAGAGTGAATTGATCTATTATAAGATTTAAATTTAAGGTTATTATCTAGGACCCCACATAGACTTTTATTGATATTATTATTTTTAAATACGCCTTATGATCATTTTAGAATGCACAATTCGTACTTGTGTAAGACTTAGACAACACATAATGCTAGTGCAACGTCCTCATCTTAACTGCCTATTTTTCTCATTTTGTAATATAAATTTGAACAAATATTATATAATTCATTATAATGGATCCTATACTTTACTTTATTATGTTGTAAAACCATAAAACACGTTTAATAGAAAAAATAATAATTTACTTTGTTCATTGATAAATCTTTAAATGTGCATTACACATTATTATTGTTTATAATGTCATTGTACAATGAAAAATGAACATAAAAACTTGTCCTAGTATCATGACATTAAGTCCCTAATATATTATGTATTTAAGCTATATCTTTCGATACATACTTCTGCCATTTCGGGTTTTTAATTATCATAAATTAAAGTTATTATTACTACTATACATTTATTTTTTAAGTAACCATTACGTAACTCTTGAACTATTAAGTATTAACTATATTCTTCGAAACAGGTAAATTACATATTATGGGGTTTTTATATAAACAAAAATAAATTTTTGTATTC